TCAATGAAGGCCTCTACATTGATGTAATTTGGGGAACTAAGTTGTGAAGAAGCAAAGATTTATCAGCAAAAGATACTCAATGTATTGCAATGTAATTGTAAATTTTATGTATCTTTATTAAAAATAATTATTTTTGACATTGCTGTTTTGTGTTCTTGCTTTAGCTGCTGAACAAGAAAAGAGAGGTTGTATAATTGTGGCAATTTACCCATTGTGGATTATAAGTGAAAATTAATATTAGTTTCATTGAATAGAGGTGAAAAAAGGTTGTACCAGTAGGCTTGTTTTCAATTCATGCAGCAATAAATGGAGAGGGGAAGTCTGGGTTTGCTTTAGGGGTCACAAAAATATGATGGCCATATTGGTACAATACACGCATAGGAATCAATGAGAGAAGATCATCAAAGAAGTAATTTTAAATTGAATAATAATTTTTATTGCTTCAAGGATAGCTAGAGCTTCAGCAGTAAAAATAGATGTTTTAAAATTGACTTTAAATTTCCAAATTAGCCTATTGTCATAGATCCTCCAGATAGCAAAACCAACTGGGCACTTCAAATCATTCTTTGAAATTCAATAGAGAAAAGTAAATTTCTTCTGAATAACCTCTGGAAGAGTGAAATAATGAACCATACTTAAGACATTTGGGCAGGTAGAATTTGCAATTTCCATACCAATATGAAAATTAACCTCTAATTTACTAAGCTGTACAAAATAATCATATGCATAGCATGGGGCACAATCAAATTTCTTAATGCTGTCACAAGAAATAGATAATTCCTCAAAACATGCAACTAACAAAGATTTCGTATTAATATTCTTATATAAGAAGAGTTTTGAAACATGGTTTATCTTCGACAGAACAACAATCAATAAATTGAAGACACCTAGTCCCCTGATTCTGGATTACCCCTGGTCCCCAAGGATTACATTGGTTGGTGTAGATTTTGTGTAGCCTAGTGCAATTCATAAAGACTTAGATTGTAATCTTTCTAAATTTATCCTACTATTATTTGCACAGTTAACAAGCAAAAAGCCTCCATATTCGATCTGTGAACGAATCAGTGCTGTGCTTATTAGCAACAGAGTACAAGGATCTGCTCCCCACCAAGTTCCACATATACAGCCCATAATTTGAAGACCCATATCACATTTTTTGAGAGACGAGATATGTGTCCTTTCCACTGCAATGAGTGATCTAGGGTCATACCCAAGAAAACATCTGAAAAAGAGCTATAAACAATGTTGCCATTGTCATAAATATAAAATTTATGAGCTTTTAAATAGCTCTTGCTAATTACAATAAACTTATTGCTAGGAGATTTCTCTTTTCTAAATATTGACTCAATGATTCTACAGCATTCTCTAGAATATTGATGGCATCTTCCTCTGGGTCCGTTACTGAATGTAAAGCAATATCATCTGCATATTTTAACATGAACACATCACTTGGTAACAAACTTTCCAGTTCATTAGTGTAAATGGAAAAAAGGAGAGGGCTTGGAATACTGCCTTAGGAATGTCCTGGTATGCTATATTATTCTTTGGAGTAAATGGATAATTTTTAAAATCTAGGTGTCTTTCAGATATGTTCACAATAAAGTGAATGAAGTTTTTATTAATATCTATTTCAATCAGGTCCTGAACTAATACTGAAGAACCAAAACAATCAAAAGCCCCTTTGATATTTGAAAACAATGTAGGTAGATCTGAATTCTTACAAAATTGGTGATCAATCTCAATTTGTATTTTCTTCAATCTGTTGAAAACTTATTTTAAAAAATAACATCCTTATAGATGTGCAAAAGAACCCTTGAGATTTTTTTCTGGTAATCATTTTATAACTTTGAAAGGTATTTTCTTCATACCTGGTGATTTAGTATTTACATTGTCTAAAGCATTACTTTACCCTATGTACAGAAATGGACTGTCCAGGAATTCATTAGTTTCACACATCAAAAGGTTAGGGCAGTTATCCTTTAGTAAGTATTTTAGTAGATTTTATTAATGTCAACTTTCATGTTTTAAAGTGTTTTCTCTTAATTAAAATTAGAAAGATAAGAAGATTTACGAAGTTAATTTTTGAAACATTTTATTCTGTCCCAGATGTATGATATGTCACAATTTCTATTAAATGACCTACAAAATTTTTTGAAGTTCTTAGATTTCGTATATTGAATAATGAATCTAGCATTTGCTGCCTTTTTTTTAAAAATTCTAAGAAGTTGTATATATGAAACATTTGTGAAGGACAGCAGGGGCTTGTTTTCTGTCTTTAATGGCTTGTTCGTAGTCTATATTCCATCATGGATAAGGATTGCGCTGTGGGCATTGTGGATGTAGAGATGTAATTGTTCTCTGCATTTGGTGTGGAGGAGATAATAGCTGCATTAATATTCT